TTCCTAACATCTGCGGCTGGATCTGGGGTCTAAAGTCTGTCGCTCCGTTTGCCTTATATGGCTCTGTCCGAAGTTGCCCTATTTCCTTTCCCTTCAGGGCAGGAAAAAAAATTGCCTTTATAAGGGCCGGGGACAGCGAGGTGGAGAGAGGAAGAGGAGGAGGCGATCTCGCCGTCGCCCTTCTCTTGCAGCACAAAGGATTTCCGCTTCTCTTTCCGCGTCTTGTACGCGATCACCTGGTAGACCTTCATTTGAATGTCTGCAGCCCCCGCCCACATTCCTCAAGCTGAAAAAGCCAATCGGGACGCCCGGCTTGCCTTAAACCCTAAATCGGCCAATTGTTTTTTGTTTTTTTTCCCCTTCCCTTTTCCCCGATCAAGTGTTTGTAACCTTTCCCCAGAAGGATCGGAAGGTTTCCAAAGCTTGCGTGGCTTAGCGAGCTTCGGGTTGGGCCCAGTGGAAGCATTGTCCCAATATGACTTTTGAATGAGAGGCAAAAGGACAATGAATTACTCCATACGTTCATTCCCTCCCTCCCTCAAAAGTGGCAGCTGCATTCTAAGGCAGGTGGTTTCTTCCTGGCTCCAAGGACCGCTTCGCTAACTTGCCTGAATTATTGTCAGGTACTTGAGAGAGGCCATTTTATTCCCCATGATGAAGCCTTGTTATGGGGCCCTGTGGAAAACTTAAATGGCAGCTCTCGCTGGAGCACAGCTGCCCTCCAGATGAAATGCTGGCACCGAGACACCTGCACAGTGGAGCGGTTTCCTACCCCTGTTTGTGTGCAATGCTGCATCCCTCCGTAGCTAATTGTAGTTTAAAACTTGCTACTGTAGGCAAGCTCACCCAATATGGCTAATTCACAGTTCAGAATGCCATGTAGACAGCGGTGGGATTCAGCCAGTTCAGCCACTTTGGGAGAACCAGTTGTTAACTTTCTGAGCAGTTTGGTGAACTGGTTGTTGGAAGAAATCATTAGGGCAGAGAACCGGTTGTGAAATTATTTGAATCCCACCACTGCATGTAGACCTAGAACATTCCCTTTGCCGAGTAACCAGTGGGTAGACCAAATATATCCACCCTTGAGTTAAAGGGATATAGTGGCGCTTAAAGTGTATGAAATGTGCTGAGTAAACTGTAGCAATTGAATAGTCCAGTTGGGTCAGAGTCTTGGGAAGCACAGAGCCCAAAGCTGGGGGCGGGGGGGTGGGTTGCTGCTCTTTGTGCTCCAGATCACATACTTCCATCTATGTCCTGATTTTGTAGCATCTGCGTAACTGCCATGGGTATTTTTCTATTCTTCTCTGTATGAACGTGTACGTGCACTGAGGTGACTGGTACAAGAAATGCTTTGTCTAGGTTTTCAGGAACTCCTTCTCAGGTCCATTAGAACAAGATCTGGTTGATAATAATAGCAGCAAAAAGCATGGAGTTGACTGGTCTAAATATTCACACAGAAGGTTCTGTTGCTTTACGCTGTGTAAGCTTATAAATCAGGTGTGTACGAAAGCCTTCAAACAAGGAACCACTCAGGAATTGTACAGATAGTCCTTGCTTATTGCCCACTTGGAAGTTACCATGGAAATAACAAGATACCAGTTGAAAATATAATGTTATGACTAATTTACGGTCATTTATGACCTTCATAGTGTCCTTCGGTCACAATTTTGCCATTACAGGCAGTATGTGCTGTCTTTTGCGTGACCTGTGTTTTATTTCTTTTATTCCCTTTTGCAAAACAGCTATTGGAGAGGAAGGGATTGCAAGAGAATAAATTGTTTTGGTCTTTCGTAGTGTTGGAAGTTAAAACTCACTCCTCTCCTAGGAAAATGAAATAGTTTAGGATATACTAAAAAGGCAGAATATTTCCCCTAAAAAGAGAAGTAAAAATTTAGAAGCAGAAACTCACCCCCACCTTTGTTAATGGGCAAACCATTAAGGCATGGGCCACAGTATTCTACATAACAAAGCCCTCTGCCCATTTCACCATCTGGCCTAGGAAGATCGCATCAGCCAGCACTTAGTTGAAGCCATGTGGTCCAGACAAAGCCTACAAAGTTAGCTAAGACCCCCGCCCCTGGGAGTCTGACAGCCAATGGGATACATTTCTTACACAGGAACAGGAAACACTAAAGTGGGGCCCAACAGAGGGTATATAACTAAGATCTCTCAGCATCTTGCCCCTTCTTTTCCTTCACCTAATATCTTGTGATCATCCTTTTCACTTTGGAGTTCCAAGCCATGTGGTCCTGCTGTCCACCATTAAACCATCTTTCCAAATAGCCTCCATGTTTCCAGTGTCGTTTTCCCCACTTGGAACTGAACCCAGAAGGATATTTCTTCCAACAATACATTGAAAGCAATGTGATTACACCGCAGCCTGGAGCTAGAAGCCACAAGTGTGCTAGGCAAACAGCTTACACTATTCTCTTGAAATCTCTTTCTCTCCAATTTCTCTTGTGAGGAGAGAGGAGAAATAAAGCAAGTGATTTGTCCCTCCTGCCTGCAGAGCAGCGAGATGGGAAAGGAAGAGATTTCAAGAGAGAAAGCTGTTCATTCTTCCACAAATTGAAAGCAATAGAATGTGCTGGCAGCAGAAAAATATCAGGCAAAGGAGAAATTGCCTACAAAAACCACTTGGTTCTTTTTCTCCCCATTCTCCTCACAAAGTGGAGAGATTGGAGAGAGATTTCAAGAGAGTACTGTAAGCTGTTTGCATAATGTGCCTGCCCCAAGCTGTGCCGTAATCGCATTGCTTTCTATGGGTATAAGACAGTAAGCAGACACTGGAGCATTCCAAAGGGCAGGGGAGTGATTAAGAGTCAAGCCACAGTTGAAGGTGTAAAACTGTAGTCTTGTCTCTTTCTAGCCAGAAAATGCTGCCGTGATAATCTGACTTCCTACTTAGCAACTGCTTTGCGTAATGTGGCCCCAATTAGGGTTGTTAAGTGAGCACTACCTACATTCATTTTTTAAAAAATCCATAGGCTGCCTCTTCAATCACATCCACCCTCCCCCCCCCCCACCTATCCATAATATTGTAGGAAGTTAGCACCCACCCGTTTCCTAGAAAAATGAAATATCCTGGGAAATATTAAAAAGGCAGAATATTTCCTCTAAAAGAGAAGCAGAAACTCACCCCCACCTTTGTTAATGGCTGGGCCATTAAGGCCTGGGCCAGAATACTTTACATAACAAAGATCTCCAGGTAAAGCTACAGCAATTGCCAAAAGCCCTTTTCAGTGCATCATCATCCAGCAAGGCTCAACCAAGCCTGGAACTCAGGACAGCCTACAGAGTTGCCCATGGGAGTCTGACAACCAATCAGAATACAAGCTCCAATTCAAATCCCAACAGAGGGTATAAAACCCAGGCACTCTCAGCACCTCAGTCCTTTCCTGATCTCTTCCTTCACCTTGAAACATGTGATTATCCTTCCTTTTTCACTCTGGAGCTCCAGGCCATGAGGTCCTGTCCATTAAAACTTCCAAACAGCCTCCATGTTTCCAGTGTCTTTTTTCCTGCTTGGAACTGAATCCAGAAGGATATTTCTTCCAATAATATGAATAGAGTTCAAGTCTACATGCAACTGAATTAACTATTCTGCTTTGTGGGTCTGCATCATTTTTACAAACCGCTGGAATGTTCTTCATCTTTATTGCACTTTAATTTTTCTGGTTTTGATTAGATGAGTTTTTAATGACTTGAAGAAGTAAATACTAGTCTCATTCTCGGATGCAATTTGCTCATACAGTACCTTCTGGACAACAAAATAAGAAGCAAATCTGAAATACTCATTTGTTTAGTATCCACACTCCTGCCTGTTTGTTGCCTTTGGCTAATGAGAGCCTCTCCATTTCCAATGGAGGGGATGGGTAGGTAGAAAGCCTGCTTCCACTGGAAGATTTCCATTTTTTGCCTGCACCGCATTAGCAATAGTGTTGCTTTACAATTGCTGTGCATTATTTTAAGAGTAAAAATAGAGAAAGAGGGGGATGCAAAAAAAAATAAATAAATGGCAGAATGCTGTGACTTCTGAAACAGTACAAAAATTCCAGCTAAAACTCACTCAGCCTCTGTTCTCCTGCTAAAGGCATTTGCTTATTCCAGTGCTTTGGAATCAGGCAGGAGAAACTAGAGGAGCCATCCAATGTCTGTAGAGATCTCATAGACAATGGTATTGCATGACAGCTGTTGGGACAGGAAACTGCATTGAACCAGCATCCTTCCTTTTCAGGTTATTTGCGGAAGGCATGTCCGACATGGAAGGAGAGCAGAGTAGAAGAGAGGCTGCTTCAGTAACTGGACAGTCCTGGGCATTGTGAAAATTTCCTGAAGAGCAACTCTTGACTATAAAATTAATCCTATCTCAGGCAATAATTCCAGAACCCCAGCCCCTCATTCTTCATCATTAATTTTCCTCCCTTTAAATCTTAGTTGAAATTTTGCAAGCCTGGCCAAAATTAAATTTACTCCCCTTCTTGTCTTACCCCAGGATTTTATTTTATTAAAAAGCTTGCAACAGCTGGACCACCTCATTCTCCTCCTGCCAGGCGTTTCTGAGTTAGCTTCTAATCTATATCTCTGGCATCTACTGTAGAGTAGAAGATGACTTTACATTTTATGTGTTTATTGCCTTCATTTCATCAGATTTGAATCCCACTTTTTATAACATCAGCTCAAAGGGGTATATACATAGTGTATTCTCTCTCTCTCTCTCTCTCTCTCTCTCTCTCTCTCTCTTTCTCTTTCTCTTTCTCTCTCTCTCTCTCCATTTTTCCTCACAATACCACCCTGTGATAATGTGGGCTGAGAGAACAACAGCCAAATGCCACCAAACTCCTTCCATCTTTGGGCTACAACCTCTTGAGTCAGGATATTAAATGTGATATTGATATTGATTGAAAAGAGCTGCTACTAGAAACAAAAGTAATCTGGAAATACAAAGTCTATTAAATATATTGCAGGCTTTGACTGAAACTGGCAAGAGCAGAGCTACTCAGCTTTAAAAGAACAGATTGTAAGGGCCAGATAACTACATAAGGCTTTATTATGTTGGGAATTAATTATTAATTAGGAACACCCCTAACCTCCAGTTATTGCATTTCCAACGAGAAGGAACTGACTTTCCATATTTGCAATGAATCCTGAAACTGTCGTGTCTCCTCTGTTTTGCATACCCACGTTTTCTGGAACATTGACATACTTATATGAGATGTCTTGTAAGGTATGACACCTCTGGAAGGAAAAAAACAGGATGCCCTAGGGAAACTGGAAGGGAAATACAACCTCTGCAACTTAGTCAGACACAGCACAGTAACCACCTTCTAGGAGCCTTATTAGTGTGTCACTTCTAAACATAGGCAAGGAAGACCAAAAAATAAAATAAAATTCCCCAGGTGAAGAGGTTCCTCTATCCTGGGCCATCTTTTACCTTGCAAGGTATGGAAGCGTAAAGCCCCTTGAGTCCAGGTGCCAGAACTCACCTTCCCCTCACATGCTATTTAGTGTTCAGGCTTGGGCACCACGCTGGGCCCTGGAGCATCTCAAGCCCTGTGGTACAGGCTCAGTACTCCCAGAATGTTGCACAGTTTAGGGTATCAGCATCAGCCCGCAGGGTTCCAGCTTGGTCTCCTCGTAAGTATTTGCCATTCTTCCCTTTAATGGCCACCCGGCTGCACTCGCGGAATTCAAAGAAGAAGTCCTCAGATGTCTCACCATCGCTGCACACGGTGCCATTGCTAGCCACGTACCAGAACCTGTCATTGAGGCCTAGGAGCACCAAAGAGGCACAAGTCATTGGAGGGCGCATAGAACGGAGCCATTTCAGCTTATTAATGCTAAACTCTTGCTTGGATGTTTCCCTAATAGTTTTTCTTATAGAAAAACACATGCAAGTCAGAAGCCATAATGGAATGGATGTTCAAACTTTGTAAAGGGATGATTGAAATCAGAGGTGGTATTCGGCAGGTTCTGACCAGTTCTGGAGAACTGGCAGCGGAAATTATGAGTAGTTCAGAAAACTGGCCAATACCACCTCTGACTGGCCCCGCCCCCAAGTCCCAGCTGATCGGTTGGGTCTTCTTTTATTGCCCTGCACAGGAGAATGGAGCTGGAAATCAGGTTAGTGGGGTGGGGAGGGAATGGGTTAAAATGTTTGAATCCTATCACTGATTGAAATATGACAATGAGCACTTGTGCCAGGATGATGAGGTGATTATGAGGGTTCTTTAGAGTGGGGAGGGGCGACTCTAAAGAGACAACATTTGTCCAGTTCTCTTATTCAACAACTAACACACTCAAGATCACGGTACAGAATCTAGAGTGCAGATGGTTCCACCATATGCAAGAACATGTTAGGAGAAGTGAAAATAAAAGCCATGTTAAAAATAGCATGAAGCCCCAGGTTCCCTAATTAAAACACTAGCATATGCATCCTTTGCCAAGGCCGGTCCTTTGTTTAAATGTCTTCCAAGTGAACAGCTGCCCATCGCTGCTGAAGGTAGAAGAATGAGATAAGAGAACAAGGAGTTGCCCACCCCAGGTGGTACCTGCAAGACAGAGCACGCAAGACACTCTCACTTGGTCACTATTTTCTCCCAACACAGGGAGATTTGATTCCTATCACCGTGATTATTTCCCAATAAGCATCCAGAAAGAAAAATGAACATGTGCAGTTTTGGGTTCTTTTGCAATTCAGTATCTTCTTTTCCTCACATGGAGTAGAAGGTGGGGATGATGGAACAGTTGGAGCAAGGAGGAAATGTTCTAAATCTCTTTCGTGTCTACCAACAGCAGCATAGCAGCTAACTATGATAGCCCAGAGATAGCTCCATATGGCAAGTCAGATGTGAGGCTCCCTTGTGACTTGGATAACTTTCTGCAGTTTAATCTATTGTGTGAAATTAGCTGATGGATTGTAAAGATCTGCTTTACATTCATTTTTTTAAAATGTTGTGATGCTCTTAAAGCTGTTTCCCTTCCAGTTTTAATTTTTTTTCCTTCAACAGTCAGTAGCCTTTGACTGTTGATCATATTCAGTTTTCATTAGGCCTTTTTTCTTAAAATCTGTATCTCCACTTATACAAACCTTTGGATCAAAGACACCAATACTTCCTTCTTCTGGATGGTAATACTGGTAGACCTCGACTAACAACCACAATTGGCCCCCAAATTCCTGTTACTAAGTGAGACATTTGTTAAGTCAGTTTTGTCCCATTTTGCAACAGTTCTTGCCTCAGTTCACTGAATCCCTGCAGTTTTTAAATTACAAATGTGGTTGCTAAGTGAGCCTGGCTTCCTCGTTGGCTTTGCTTGTTGGAAGGTTGCAAAAGGGGATCACGTGACCCTGGAACACTGCAACTATCAGAAATAAAAGTAAGTTGCCAAATATCTTAATGTTGATCCTATGGCCATGGGGATGCTGCAATGGTCATGCGAAAAATGGTCATAAATCACTTTTTTTCAGTGCTGTTGTAATTTCAAAAGATCACTAAATGAATTGTTTTAAGTTGGGGACTACCTGTATTTTGTCTACAGAAGCACTGACACTTAGAACATTTAATAACTATTATTATACAGGGTAGGGATGAATTGTAGTCAACAAAATGGACATGTTTGCATGTGATTGCTCTTCAAAGGATTAACACTAAGCAACCTTTGAGCACACTAATTTACACTCACATGCAGGAAGTTGGCCCACTGTGTTTCATGTATGGCATTCCTCTGATATGTGATTAATTAATTAAATAATTCACTGTGTGAATGAAGAACGTTCCCCAGCTCCTTTCTCTCTTCCAACCACCCAGTTTGCAGACAGCGAATTACCTTTGATCTGGTAAGCACCATCACTGAAATTGAGGTGGAAGACATCATAGATGGAACGGTTGGCATCCAACAAGTTGGAGTTGCGATGGTAACAAACAAAGCCATGAGCCCCGCGAAGAACTAGGATGGGTCGGTTGATCAGCTTGAGAACAAATTCTTCATCTTTCCCTGTGGCAACAACTGTAACTCAGTGCGTTCTGAGATTAATGAGACTACCATAACCCTGTAGAGCTAGGAAATCTAAAAAGGACATTTTACACAAATGAATACAAAGTTGCTCCCTTAGAAATGCCTATTTCTAAGAACTTGTTCATGTGGATATTTGGCAAACAAAAGGGAAGATTTTAAGTAGTTAGGGCTATGAAGATGGGGTTTGTTTTATGGTCCTATTCAGCAAGTTCTCTGCATCTGCCAAAATTCTAGAAATATTGAAGAATCCTGCTTCTTTCCATGCTTGGGTAATCCAAATAGGATAGTCTCTTAATTCTGAGACTAAATAAGTCTTTCTTTAGGATTCTCTTATTAGCTAAAATTGTTTTCACGTATAGGATGCATAACTATTTACCAATAAAAGAGCTCAAGAGTGTTCTAGACTAGAGTCAGCTCAAGAACACACCGCTGTCCTCTTGTCAGCCTGAGTTGAGCAGATAAGTCTCCTTTAGTTTATCTGTCCTATTGTTTTGATCTAGAAGGACTGAGCTTCTGAAATAAAGCCCACAGGCAGCTTCACTTTCAGGATCCAGAGATAAGACTCACCCACTCTGTCACTGACAGCTGCCAGTTGCCCATTCTTCTTGGTGCAGATGTATTTGCCATTGTTAGCTTTAAGGGCAACACGGCGACCACACCATTCAAGATCAAACATAGTGCTGGAGGATCTGAGGAAACCAAAGCAGAAAGGAAGAACATGGATTGATGGGAGAATCAGAAAGGAGAAACTATTCCTTCCTTCCAAAGGTTTTATTCTTTCTGTTGTATTAGACATTTATTACACATATAAAATTGACATACAGTACATCTACAATATGCCACATTATGGAGCGAGATTTATGGAATCTTGATACATTTAAAAAAATTGTACCTTCGATTGTATTTGCAAAGGTTTATCATGCTCCATTGCAACTGTTTCCTGAAAGCTTAGATGCATTACTATTGAGCTTTACCCTACCTTAACCTTTGGGTTTGCAAGTTGTTCCTATGGACAGCAAAAATCTGTCTCACTAATAATCTGCATTACAGATTCTACTACATAACTATTTTCCTCAAAGCATCAGAAGGTAAGACAAGAAACAATGGATGAAAACTAATCAAGGAGAGAAGCAATCTAGAACTAAGGAGAAATTTTCTAATAGTGAGAACAATCAACCAGTGGAATGGCTTGCCTTCAGAAGTTCTTGGTGCCCCATCAATGGATGCTTTCAAGAAGAGACTGGGCAGCCTCTTGTCTGGAATGTATAGGGTCTCCTGCTTGAGTGGGGGGTCAAACTAGATGACCTCCAAGGTAAATTCTACTCTACTCTACTCTAATCTCCACTAAACTTGGCAGTCTATAGATTGAGAGGAAGTATGTGGGGTGGGAAATTTGCCTTTTCATTTAATAATGAAAAATGAAGGTCAGGAAACACATTTGTAATGCACATTCCACCCAAAGCAGGAGCTTGAGATGACACATGAATGTTTTCCTTTTTCTTTCACATGGTTCTAATAAATTGTAGCCTAAAAGCATCCAGGCTATTTTCAGGGGCAGAAATAGGATTTTCCTGGATGTGACAACTCTCTATAAAGGAACTTCAGGGAACTTCAATGCTTCATTTCATTGCCAAGTCCTATCCTAGTTTTTGAATAGACTTTCATGTCACTGAAGAAGAATAGGGAAAAAATATTTCTTTAGTGTCTATATATGTATGTTTCCAAGAGTTAATCCCACTCACTGTTAAATATTCTAATTTTAATCTAATCTACTTTTGTCCAGTTTTAGCCTGCAGCCTTCAGCTCATGCTTGTCTGGATTAAAAAGTTCTTAAATGTTCTTGCTTAAAAGAAGTGCCACATGTTAAAGGGGAAGTGAGGGCGCAGTTGGAGGAGGAGGAGGAGGAGAAGGTAGAGAAACTGTTGTTGGATCACCCAGATTCTAAAATTAAAAACAGCTAAAAACAACTAAGAAGGTGGTGCTTGTTCTTTATTGTATTGAAACGAGAACACTGAGAAAAGATGTTATTCTTTTCCCTCATGTTGTTTTCGCAAACTAAATTATCTTCCTGAAAATATTATTTTCCCCAAGGGAATGGGGAAAGTAAGAGAAATATATTCAAATACCTACATGGATTTCTACTAAACCAATAGCCACTTCTGATTGGGGGAAAGGCTGATCCCCTCCATTGCAAGCCTAATCCCTCTCTTGAGGGTGCTTTAAATTTCTCAGCATCCCAGGTCTTCCACAGATTTGGTTATATGGTTCAAAGATGCCACTGACATATTCTCCAATCCTACTATTAAAAGTTCTCAAGCAACTGAGAAAACATTTCGGTAAAATAATAATAACAATTAAAAAACACATACCCCAGACTTAACAATTGTTGACAAGAAAGACAAAAGAGTCTGGATAGGGAACATGGCAGCACTGGAGACAGCAGAAGAAAAGAGAAAGAACTGAAAAAAAGTCACAAAATACCAAGACTTGCAAACAGAAGTGGAAAACAGAAGCAAACGAATGCAAAGATAATGCATGGGTGATTGGCACCTTGGATGAAATTCTAAAACAACTAGAGCACCACTTGAAAATCACTCTGCTTGACAAATCACCATTACTCAATCACAAAAGGCAGGTTTTCTTGGAACAACATTCTGCTATAATATCGTTAACATCATCAAAACAGCAACATCTGCCTATCCCAGGTCCTTGGGAAGGACTTGGTGGATAAAAGTGCCAAACCCAGTCTGAATATCTGGCTGACTGTGTGATGAACTACAATAAATTTAATAATTTATTAAATTTGTACGCTGCCCAACTCTTAGTGGCTCTGTCGCTCACAACCATCAATTAATCAAGCATTACAAACAAATAATAAAATCAATGTAGTCCAATGCAGAATCTATGAAATCAAATTCTGCAGAAGAGGATTATGAAATTAGTTCTGATCAAGCAGTTGAACTATTTTAACCTTCCACCAACTGACTGGCTGTTATTTGGGTAGAAGCAGATGAACATTTCGTACAGGAATAACTTTTTAAAAACACCCACACCATCCAAATGTCCAACCATGGATTCCCGCACGAGTTGTGTGTGTTTTCAAAGAGATGGAGTAATTTCTATAGGACTTTTTTCAACCTGTTCCACTCTTACACGTTTGCCAAAGTTATTGGTTTGGACAGGGGAGAGGAAGGGAGAGGAGGGGTGGGGAGGGAAGCAGAGAGACTGTATTGGAACAGTTGCTGTTGAAGGAGGAAGGGACCTGTTCTTGAGAAATAGCAATTGTCTAAATGCAAACTCTGCAGAGGAAGATAAATGGAGGAGCAGATGCCAAAAGCAACATCTTGCCATCATGACACAATCTTCCTCACTTTTGCACAGGCACGTTAACTCTATAGGTCTGCAAAAAAGAAACAGAATCTGCTTTGTGGTGGTGCAGTGTTATTTTTGTTATTTTGATGAAAGCCTACAGTAGCTCCTTGCTAAATCTGGTGTTCATTTCTCCCCCAGTTCTCTCCCAATTGAGTTATGATGCCTAGTACACGCAATGGATACACTTCTGAAATCCTGATTATTTAGGGCAAGACTATGCAATCTTCTTATGCTTAGGGGCTAGAGACCATGTCACCGCTGGAGGCTAGCTGCTTTCCTTGCTGTTGGCATCACCAAAATGGCTGGCAAAGGAGGTGGTGAGTGATCCGTAGTGATGTCTGCCTCACAGACAGACTTGGAAATATATTTCTCTTGAACTGTATTCGGTCCACTGGTCCCTGATTTAAGGACCTGCCAGCAAAATGAAGACACAGCACAACTCACATTTCAGTAGCCATGGCTTGAATCCCTCCATGTGCCACCAACGTCCAATAGTTGCCTGTGTTGGAATGGAAAATGCACTTCTTGGTTTCTTTGTCAATTTGCATCTGGAAGGTCTCATGGTGTGTCTCTTCATCCTGATTGGCCGAGACGTTAACACCTAGAAGGAAGAACGTATTTCAAGTCATTTAGTTACCAGACATCCCAATTCACTTCCGATCTAGCTTGTGAGAGAAGTTGCCAAGATCCTTAGAAAAGCGCTCAAGTGGTGGCACTAATTTAGACACATTTATTTATTTTATTTTTTTATTTTATTTTATTTTATTTGTCAATCACTTACAAGATAACAGGTATAAGTATAAACATAGTTATGAATACATGAAATACGTATAAGAAAACAAAACAAAACAATAGGACAGGAATGGTAGGCAAGATTGGTGTGCTTATGCACACTCCCTAATGACACATGGAGCTTGTAAATATTTTTTTTTAAATTAAACAGTACAATATGCTTCATTAACCACCTATTATTAATAATAATCCTACAAATTTTATGTATAATTTATAATCTCTCAATAGGCAACTAGGCTCAAGTCTGCTCACCTTGAGGAAAGCCTTCAAGATCACCAGGCCCAGCTGAATGAAAGTTCCTGATTCATCGTTCTGTTATGTTGTGTGGTTACATTTACATTTGTTGTTTATTATAAAATATATTTATTTGTTTATTGTTGTATGGTGTCCTTTTCTGTCCCTTGGAATATGCATTTATTCAACCAATTTATAGGACCAGCCATCCAGCAATGGTCAATGAAAAAGATAAAAACCATAATTGTTCAAACTAATTAAGAAGAAAAACTGAGTTAAGGCTCTTCTAAACATCTGATTCAAGCATATCACCTACACTTATTCCCAAATTCTATTAACATCCTGGCCTCGGTGCCTTGGAGAAAAGTCAAATCTTCATGGACTTCTGAAAAGACAGCAGGTTTGGAGCTGATTATAGTATCTCTGCGAGAATGCTGTTCTATAAAATAAACACCATGACAGAGATACTTCCAGGAGCCCACCAGGTGACAATTTTATTACTTTGCTAGACATAGAGCATGCCTTTGCATTGCAGATAGGCAGTCCCATAAATGATAAAGCCCCATGCTACGTAGGTGACAATCAACACCTTGAATTGCACCTGGAAGTCTACTGAGAACTAGCGTAGTTCGCATAGCAAAGGTGTTATGTGGCCATACCTTGGTATACCTAAATCTGAATCTGTGGTTTCATTCTGAACCAGCTGAAGCTTTGAATGGTTTTTAACAGTAGCCTCATATACAGAGTGTTGTAGTGTGTTGCAGTAATCCACTCAGGAGGTGACTAAGACATGAGTGGCTGTGAATATGCTTCATGATCTAAGAACAGGCACAACTAGTGCACATGAACTATTTATTCAAAGGCTCTCCCAGCCACAACTGCCACCTGCTACTTAAGATGCAAATTTAAAAGGAGCCCCAGAGTGTACACCAACTCTGTCTGAGGCAAAAGTGGAAATCACTAGATGTGAGAGGCCCTGAAACCCAGAGCCACTGATTTTTTTTCAGCTAGTTCTTCTCCATCCAGATCTGTACAGTGGCACCAGGAATGTACCTTGATGGGATCAATTGGATAACCCAGCGCATATGTAAGGTATAAGAGATAGATTGATTATTTTGACCCCCATGTCAATAGATTAACTTCCCCACCAGTTTCATCATCTTACAGAGAAGTGGAACAGAGGCCTAGAGCTGGACCTTTCCCATATTACCAACACTGACTGAAACCTGGAGGGCAGAGAACCACTGAAGAATTATGTCCCCAGTCCTGGTACCCTTAGCCAGCAGAGAAAGATACCAAAGCAACTGAGGGAATCAAGGACGGCCATATGCTATCTCCATTCTAGCATCAGAGGTCACCTATATGTATACTGTCCTGCTACTAGATCCTGGCCTGAAACCTGACTATAAAGGGTCCAGATTATTTACTTATTTATTTAAAACATATGTGTAGCTGCCTATTTTAGAATCAACTTTGGGCAGCTCACAACCAATAAAACAATCTAAACAATCATAAAACCAAAAGCAATAAAACAATAATGTTAAAAACCAGAAAAACCTGGTGCCACAATTGCATTGCCCTGATGAAACCCACATTCTTAACCCATCCTGACTTCCCACTATCCCAATATTTAGGAGAAGAGCTAGATTTTAAAGTTCTGAGGAAGGATAAAAGGTTAGGAGGTTATTGGGCTTCATGGAGCAGAGCTGCAATGGAATCTGCTTCCTTCGGGGCTCTTTGGAGTATAAGTCTTTATAAGCTATAAGCCAAAAAGGAAATGTTGGAGACTGGACTGAAATTGTCCAGTACTGCTAAGCTGAGTGATGACCTCTTGAAGAGTGTTATTCCTTGCTGAACTCACATAACTTTTCGCTGAGGGTGGACAAAACATTTTGAGTTAAGAATAGATTTTGATGTTCCTGGAGAGCCTTCAGATGGCTGTTTTGAGCTTGAGGCAACTATTTCAGGTTCAAAACCTGCTTAATTCAGAATGCTTTGCACATTTAAGTTCCTCACTAACCTTCCAGTCATTTCAGATTTGGGAATTATATTTGCTGTCCTCAATCTTGAATATCTGGGAAGAAAGGGAATTGAAATCCAAGAGACTGAGAAAGGCTTCATTACCCAAATAAACTGATGTTACAACTAGTAGAAAGCCTGCATGCTGGTTATATTCAATGTAACATCTTCCCTCTCATGGTCTGGTTTTACCTATTGTTATTGTTTTAATGGGTTTGTAAAATGTTTTATTTCCTAGTTTTATTATAGGCCGCCTACAGTCACTTTGGGGAAAATGGGCAGCCATATAAATTTGTCAAATAAATAAATAAACAACCTCAAAGCCTTATGATGCAAGCCTTCCCCTCTTATTTCCATAAATGCTGGGGTTTGCTCTAAGATAGGAACCTTCCGGAGCCACAGTTACTGAAATTGTGGACAAAAAGATGGTGTAAGTTTAAAAACCAAAGAAGTTCCCAAATTCCCTCCAGTCCTGCCTCAAAATCTTGACAATGATAGGCCTTTGCACTATTACCCTATTAATCGAGGCCTTTTACATTCAGAGGCCAAATGAAGCTCCTGGCCATCAAAAGGTTACCTAGTACCCAATATGTTTGTCCTTAATCCAGGTCCAACTTTCTTGGCATGCTAAATAGTAACCTAATTCTCAATGCTGGTCACAATGACGAAGGCTTTATACAAGCACCAGAGGTGTTATGTCAAAAGCCCGTCATGCACCCTTGTATAGAAGGCTTCGCTGCCTGATCCAAAATGGTGGCCAGTGCTCCAAAGGATGGAGAATTCTGAGGTACAGGTTTTTTTTATTAACATAATAGTTTTCTCATCAGCTCCAAAATTGCAGCCATAGGTCTAATGATATGTCAGGATGAAAGCAAGTAGATTTATACCTGCTACTTACCTTCACTGAAAACATAAAGAAAGGTCTTCCTTTACTCTTGTGCTTGATTACAAATTACAATCACAACAATTGATTACAACACCTATCGCATATACTTGGAAAGAGAAAGGACCCACACAGTTCCGTTCCACCTGCCAAATCTGGCCCTCCCATGTTAGGAGGTTATTGCAAAGGCAGTCTGCATGCAAGCATTAAGAAGTCAAGCTATTTTACCAATGTTGCTGCAGCCTTTGCCTGATAATAATAATAATAGCTACATTTGCCAGCGGGCATTAACCCAGCTTCTGAAGTGTTCAAATGTAAATTAAGTGCAGGAGCACATTGCCTACATTAAAAAAAAATGCAGGTGACAGTCATCTTGCACTATTAAACAAGGAAATGTCATAGATGCAATCAGGGACCATGACCAAGAGTTATTTGTTTTTATTTATTTTTTAGCAGTGAGTACAGGAAACAGAATCGAAAATGGAATCCTGATAGCATCTCCCGTGGCTATATGTTTTATACTGCATATCTGCTGACAGTAGAGAGCTTCTCATCTGACCCAATAGAAGCTGAAAGAATCCAAGAGATGCTGAGACGAGGGAATATGACAAGCACCCGAGGCTCCTTGGAATATTAAATGACCTGGCAAAATGTTGCAGATTACAGCAAACACAACAACTGACACAAAAGAAAATGAATGGGAATGGTCAGAAAATCATTGGCAGGCAATAGAGTATCATTAAGGACAGAATATTCAAGAGCCCTGTACTCTGGTCGTGCAGTCTAGAAGAGCAATTTGTGTCTCACCTCAGAGAGAGCACTAGGAAGCTGTTATAACACCAGCAGCCTCTCATGTATGCTAGAGAGAGTCTTATCTGGATGAGAGGGAGACTCATAGTAAAAAAGAACTGTAGGCTGTGATGTTTGGGAGGACACTGCAGGTAAAATTAGATCACAAACCCGGAAAGCACTGCTGAGATGTGGATTATGATGTGTACATTGAACTTCCTGGGTAAATATTTCTTAGTGGCAGATTCTTTAAATAGTGTCTTCATCTATAAATCCAGTGATAAGAGTTTAGTAGGGAAAGAGAGCTGATAGCAACCAAAATTTTATTGTAGGAAGAGAGGGAACATGCATACTAAAGCTTTACAGACTATTGGGAATATGGATAATGGGTGGCATGAGATGAAACATGAATTGCCAGTGCAAAAAAACATCCTCATACTCAAAGAGGGATGAGTTTAATATTGGGGATGGGATTATTGTGCTATTTCCTCTCCTTGAAGGGCAAGCAACAAAAGGAGACTTGTATTTCCATAAAACGCTGTGTCAATATTGGAGAAAGGTTAAAGATATCTAAAGGCAGAAGAAAGTCTGCCTTATACAATGTAGATTGCTATTCTAATTTTGGCAAACATACTTCGTTTGTATGCTAGATTTCAGGTAGTTGTACATAAACTACAGAGTCATTTTGCCTCTTACAGATTAGCTGTACAATATTCTCAGAAAACTGTGCACAGTTCGTGTCAAACAAACTCAAGACCTTCCGGGCACAGTGGGAACCTGAATATCAAACGTTTTTGCCTGTTTCTCCTCAGAGCAACAGCAAAATAGAATAAACTTCCAGCCCAACGTATTCCACAAGGTTCCATGGATATTCCTCGACTTAC